GGTGGAGTAACCGTGGGCTTGCTTTGCACCCCTCCCAGAGGCCCCTAAAGGGCTTGAGCCCTCACCACCCATGGGACTGCCTTCCCACCTCCCAGCCTGTCCTGGGGTCCCCTCCCAATTAATCTTGAGTGTAATTGGATTTGAATTCTGGTCTCAGAGCCTACCTCTGGGGGAGCCAAACAGAGTTTCCCAAGGTTGTGAGCTAGTTCTCCCCAAGACCGAGTGACTCAGAGGCTGGACTTAGGTCAGAGGGAGGGCTCCTCCTTCAGGACCTCTGAGGGTACAGGACAGGGCACTTTGTCACCAGGCTCTGCAGACCTTCTGCTACCTTTGGTGCTGTGATAAGAGCTGTCTCCTTTCATGTTCTTGCTCTATGTGTCAACATCATTTTATCAGCCCTTGTAAAGGAGGCTTTCACCAGTGTGTGGTAACAGCAAAGTCATGCCCAGTTCTTGAGGAGGTAGGGTCAGAAAATTGGAGGATTACAAGCATAAGTTAGAAATGATATCTTATTTACTCTCACAACAACCCTGGAAGCAAGGCTGCCGCGAACAGTTGGGCAGGTTGTGCACTGCACAAGAGCATCTGGCTAAGAGGGCAGCACATGTTCTTCCTAACAAGCAGCATCCCTGGCACATATCTGTGTCTTGCCGTGTGGTGAGGGGAAGGGGAGGAAAGCTTTTTGTCATTTGTCATTTGGAAACTGAGGCACAGAGAACTTAAGTAATTTGCCCAAGATTTCTTAGCATGTAAGAGGTTGGACTAAGCTCTGATTCCAAGAATTCCGGCTTCAGAGCCTCCAATCTTTACTACGTGACTTCATGAAGTCTTGGCAGGGCTGAGCCAGTAAGGAGGGCTGGAAAGCTGGGGAAGGCTTTGACTCTTGGGCACCAAGTCAGTCCTGAGACACAGGGTCTCCAAAGAACCGAGGGGAGACAGTCATTGCCCCTCAGCTGACCCAGGATCTGGGGGCCAGGCCTGAGCTACCTGCCACCTGGGAAAAGACCACAGCCGGAGGCAAGGAACCTGTCATCCTGTGGCTTCGTGATCCTGAGCAAGCCTCACACAGCCTCAATTTTCCCATCTGTAAAAATGGAGTTTACAGTTCCCGCCCTGCCCGTCTCCCTGGCTAGAATTAAACTAGATATTTGAAGGATTTCAAAGAGAGAGAGGTATCCTCCAGTGCTTAAAATCACACCTAGAATTGCCTAAGTTAAAGCTTAAAACATATTTGCCATCTGCTTAATAAAACCATTATTTCCCAGGTCTGTCGGTGGCGACACCCTCCCCACCCCCACCTTTTACTGCCTGAGAGCCTGTCCCTCTCCGTGCCTGCTGGCTTCCTTCTACTGGAACAGCAGAGAGCCCGAATGCCAGGGCGCTCCCAGCTAATGACTCAGCCTCCATAACGAGTCCAAACATCTGGCTGACAAAGGGCACGGCTTGCTTCCGAAGTGACGCCTTCTGCACAAATATGTTCTTAATATTCAATTAGTATTTATCCACCGTGAACAACAATTACGCCACTGACTCTCAATGAAGTGCCTGGTTGATTAATTAGCGCCGTCTTTAACACGCCAGCAGTATTTCTCTGTGAGTGCACTGGTTAATAGGCATGGCGACGCCAGGACGAGCGAGCCAGGGGCTGGCGGGGGCGCCCTGGGTTCCCCGGGCTCCAGATGTGAGTCTGGAACTGAGCATGCGTCAAGCAAGTCATCTTCTGGAGTTAAAACACACATGCACCTTGGGATTTGTAGCAAGCCACTTAACCCCTGCCTGCCCCAGCTTCTTTCCCCCTCAGCAGCAGGTGGATGGGAAGATCGCCAAGGCTCCCTGGAGTCCTGACAGCATGGGCTCCGTCTCTGATACTCACATCTGTATTGACCCCTCCCATCTCCCCATGCAAGGACCATCTTGCTCCACTCGGCCCCATCTGGGTCAAGGGGGAGCTGCTGACCACACCCCAAGCACCTCCTTCCCCTCCACCAGCCCCCTTCCCTTGCTCCCTACATGCATGTTCCCCAGTGCTAAGTCCTCCTTCTGCTTCTGCTTCTGCCCTCTGTCTTCTCCCAGCCTCCGGGTCCAGCCCCTCAGTGAGCAGCCTCCAGGTCCCCATGGCCCCCTTCTGCCCCCACCTTCCTAAGAGCCTACTGAAGGCACAGAGCATGGGGACCAAGCTGCCTGGATTCATCCTGGCACTCCAGTCACTAGCTGTGTAACCACGGGCAAGTCACCTGAGGCCCGGTGCCTCAGTTTCCCCCTTTCAGAATGCAGATAATCAGGTGGTCGTTAGTCAGTATAAGCTAAACTGTCGTAATTGACCCAAAATGCAATGGCTCAATTGTCACAGATGCCCATTTCCCACTCACAGTTTAGCCTGGGAAAGGCAGCCCACGCCAGCAGATGGGTCAGGCTCTTTCCCTCCTGTGGCTGCCCACAGCCCAGGGACCCTGCCGT